TTCCCAGGGTTCATATAGGGAGCCAGGCCATTTTCAGAATCTTCTGGATTTGAGCTGTTCGAGTTCCTATTGAAGGGTATATGTTCTAGTTGGCGAGTGCGTCACCACCCGCTCCAAATGCATCAAAGCATCACCTCCCAGAGTTTACGTATATCTTTCTCGAGCCACACATGCACAGCAAACCGCAGATTTGAAGTCTCGTTCATGCTTTGAACTTGTACAGGTGTGTAAGAGGTATAGCAACATAGCATTTATACGGACCCAGGGTAGCTACAATTCTGTTCGCAGGTATCGCGCGCATGAGGCTTCAAAGCTGTGTTTTTCAAGCTAAATTCAAGGTGGCCTGAGACCAGGGTTTGCTGCCCTAAAACACTCTGTTCAGGCCACCTTAAAAAATGAAGGTCTGCGAAGCGAGAGCAAAGGATGCACATTGTCCTTCTGCTGCTTGAATGTGGCCTTTTGTTTACTTAAAAGTTCAAGACCTCCCAGCTGTTTCCACCTCTTCGCTTCCCAGTCTTCCCAGGGTTCATATAGGGAGCCAGGCCATTTTCAGAATCTTCTGGGTTTGAGCTGTTCGAGTTCCTATTGAAGGGTATATGTTCTAGTTGGCGAGTGCGTCACCACCCGCTCCAAAAGCATCAAAGCATCACCTCCCAGAGTTTACGTATATCTTTCTCGAGCCACACATGCACAGCAAACCACACCACAGCTTTGAAGTCTCATTCGTGCTTTGAACTTGTATACGTGTGTAAGAGGTATAGCAACATAGCACTATACGGACCCAGGGTAGCTACAATTCTGTTCCCAGGTTCGCGCGCATGAGGCTTCAAAGCTGTGGATTGCTGTGCGTGTGTAGAGGTTATCGAGCGGTTGACGGAAAGGGAACTTGAAGTACTATACCGGGTAGCTGCACTATAGCTACCCTGGGTATCTATACCTGGCAAGGTGCCAACTACACCTTTCCATTCAGATGATGCAAATTGCATTTCTTGCATCACCACCCCTCAAAATCACCTCCAACACAACCTCAAAAAACCTTCCCTCGATGCACCCTCCTCCCCCCAGCATGTGCCGAGTTTACGTGTACCTTTTGCGGGCCACCCCCCCAGACCCCCTAACTACTCACTTCGTTCGCCAAGCACAACTCAGCTGGCGCCTTCTACGAAGGCTGGCTTTCGTAATAACATGCCAAAGGATCCAAGCACAGGACTGTTCTTCAAGTCTCGAGTGTTTCGTGCTCATTTGGTCGCATGAAAAAGGTGTCTTTTTGGTCAGGGGGGGCACGCACAGTAGAATCCGAGCAAAAAAACACAATCATGTTTACCCCAAGAATCATTGGACCCGACCACCAAACTGGAGGGTGACCTGACCCTGCATGGCATAGCAGGGGGCCCTTGGACCCGAACCAAACCTTCACTTCTGAGGATCCTTTGAGGGTAGAAGCAAAAATGATATCCAGGAGTCACAAAGGGGTGCTATCCATGGAGGTTAGGGGTGCCCAGCTACTCCACTCACTTGATGGGACTAAACACCACCCGTTTGTGACTCCTGGATGTTCCTTCTTCATTGAAGAGAAAATTATGATTGTTCCTATGCCACTGTGCTGTCATGCAACACTAGAATTTTATCAAGCTCTGCTTGTCTATCATATATAATGACATTCCATCAGTCTTTGTAACATCATTGAAGCCACTACTGTATATCTGTGACAAGTCGAACGGCACCTCCCATCTCCTTTTCTGCTTTGGCGCAGCGCAGGCGCTTTTCGTCTATGGTGAGACTCACCGGAGAGGCGCCGCCGGCCTCGTGTCCGTCCTGGTCACGGCCGACTGCGTGCGGCTGAGTAAAATGTGGTCCTGGATCTGTGGTCTGGATGATGCTTAATTTGGGCACTGCATGGAACTGTACACACTCAAAACAAAATAAACATCTGCTTGTTGCTTGGTTGTGATGTTGGATCCAACCCTTTTTGTTGGTTAAAATGTGTCCGTAACGCTGAGAATCTTCCGATGTCGAGCATGAGGCCCTTCCGACATGCTTGAAGTGTAACTCCTTTTTTCACTTTCATCATGCTTGGCTAGGTGACCCTAGTTGCCTCCAGTTGCCAACTCCAAATGACCCTCAGTGCCAAGACTGTTCACCAGTGTATCATGAGATACTGCAGTCACATCCTCACTTGTCAACCCAACAAATAACAAGAAACACATGAGCTAATTACGGCCCAAACCCCACTAAACCATCCATGTAGGGTCTTTGATCGTAGCTCCACTGCCACAACCTCGGACTGTCCCCACGCGTCACTTCCAAAACTCTCCGAGCAAAAAGACAAAAACCATCAAAACACTGATTTGTAGATTTCTTGAGTTCAATGATGGTCGGAGGTGTAATTCATTGTCTTATGGGGAAAGAGTATTCAGTATTCCGATTGTGAAAATGCATTCTGACCGTCACCGGCTACGAACAGTGTCCTTCTAGGCAGGCTTGAAGTTGCCTCTGAAGCTGGAGGTAAAATGCAATTCCCGCGCGAACCTGCAGTTCGGCGCATTCTGCTGCATCTTTTGCCGTCAGTTCCCCGGCCAGTGTCATCTTTTTGTGGTATAAAACGACAAGCAAAACGGGCAATCGGAACACATGTACCTTCAGAAACATGCCTGGCATTGGCCGGTGTGAAAGACCGGCCGCCCGGCAGCTCATCCTCCTGCCGATTCCGATTGCGAACACAGCGGGGAGATGGGTGACTGGTGACACAGCGGGGGGATGGAAGCGAACAGGACTGGACATGGCTTGAAGACGTCCGTTGCGGGGGTCCGTTGGAGTCTGCCAAATGGTGTTAAAAGGTTGTTGGAACACGTTGGAACCACGGATGGACTCATGTTCCGGCTAAACGGCCGATCGGTTTTGTGGACGCGAGCTTGTTGGCCCAAGTTTGTGTACCCTAGGGATCCAAGCACCTGCTCAGAAGGTATTTGGACCCTTCAAACCCACCCCAAACACCTTCTCAGAAGGTGCGACTGGAGCCTTAGGGTTAGTGAGTTTCTAAATGCTTCGTCATGTTCATCAAATGTCTGCAGTCCAACGCCATGAAGATCGAAAGGCCAAGTGCAGCTGTATGGCCATGTTACCAGCTTTGTTCAACTACTCAAAATTTGACCGCTTAATTTTACACAGTTCATATGACCGAGCTAGTCTACATTTGTTGTGGAGTTGCAGGTTCGCTCGTCTCTTGAGCCTAGCTCGATCTGTGTTCGGAATGCGTAGGATGCGACTGCTCTCAGGGTATTTCCGCTAGCGGAGCGCTTCCATCCTGTCTGCCATTGGTTCCATTTTTTTTCAGCAAAGCCATTAGATAGAATAACAAAACAAATAACAAACAATATATACACACATACTCCAAGCATTCAACCCCAAACACCCCGAAAAAAGTCGCAGTATAGTATATACGCCCACCCCCCTTCGCCGCTACATCTACCCCGCGCGCAAAAAGCGATCCCTGGTGCAAAAAAAAAGGTTCGATGGCACAAAACATGGCGGCGGCTCCCCTCGCATCCAGGCAGGGCGATCGCCATTGATCCTCAGGGCGATCAACCCGCTTTTTCGATCCAACGCGACCCGAGATCTCGCTGTGCCGCTGGGTAATCCTATAGGCAGGGACACCGAGCTCGGTTGGACCTACCGGCAGGTCGGAGAGACCTACATGGGGTCGACCTGGGGCGAAAGAACCGATATCCTCAAGATATCTGGAGTCTCAGTTCGTACCTCGGAAAAATGGGTACACCTGTTTTTTTTACGTGGGTCATGTAGTCGGGTCCAGGTATATTGGAGGGAATGGACCCAAATGCCGGTTATGCCCTGCAAAAGTCGGTCGATGGTTCGACCCCCTAGGCTTTGAGGGACTGGTCGAGCTGTGAGCGGAAGACTTACTCGGGCTGCCTCAGGCTCATGGGGACAAAAACACAAGAACACGAGAAAACCACGATCAAAACATGAGAAAAACACATGAGCTGGCAACACACAAAACATGAGAACATGCGAATTGGGCGAATTGTTCTTGCCAGCTTTGCTTTGGCAGATTTTCACCTGACAGGATGTCGCCATCCTCTCCAGCACCCTTTTCTTTCGGCCATTCAACAAAAACACGCCCCCCCATGTCATCCGTCAAACCAATCACCCATGTCATCCGTCATCTTGCGTTGCTTTTTGTTGGCTGGGAAGAGCTCTGCGGGTCACGTCCGTCTTCTGCCAAGGCACTGCGTTCGCAAGAAGGAGGGTTTCTTCGTGTGCCTTGTGAGGCCGAAAAGGTCGAAGGAAGGGAGGCCGGATTTCAAAGAAGTGAAGTCAGGCTTTTCCAACGTTTGGAATGGCTGCCATGAAGTTTTCTTGGGTGCAATTTTTTTAATCATAAGCAGAACAAGGGAGGCCAGGCAATATGTTCATGATCTTGTGTGGTTTGCGTATCCATGGCGTCCTTATCTGGCTCGCGACTCATTCTAGACTTTGGTGACAATATAACCCTAGGGATCCAAGTACCTTCTCAGCAGATGATTGGAGACACCGCTATGTAGCTTTGGAGGGTCCAAGTACCTTCTGAGTACCAAGGAGGCCCATGCTGCTCACCCCACCAGGCCCAACCCACATGTCAAGATTGGTTGAAGGGTCGTTTCAACTAAAACGAGGCATCAAGTACTTGATAGTACTTGCTAAATACTTGCTAAACCAGGCATCTGTGAAGTATGTATTTCTTTTGTCAAGTACTTACTAGATCTCCAGGTATCCCAAATACCCTTAGAAAGAGTGTCTATGGATGTGCTTGGAATCCACCACATAGTTTTGTCAGATATCTAGCACCAACGCGAAACACTTGGATTTGTTTGTATTATACACCAAACCGGAAGAAGAAGAAGAAGAAGAACAACAACAGCAACAACAACAACAACACCAACAGCAGCAACAACAACAACAACAGCAACAACAACAACTACTACCACTACTAGTTTCTCCAATTTCAGGGGATTCACCCGGTTGGGGGGCACATCAACATCCAGTTATTATGAGCATCAAATAAAGCATCCTCTAAGCAAAACCCAACACATCTCCACCTGTTCTGGCCAACAGCTATACCCTCCGTGCAGCTCCCACCCTTCCAGTGCCCTCCAAGAGACCCTAGGCGTGCCGTGCTACATCCGGCCACAGGAAACCGACGGATCCTTGGGAGAGGCCAATGGGATTTTCTTTGAAACCCAACCTCCCTGGACCATCCTGTCTGGGTGTGGACCATCCTGTCACCATCCTCCTGGAGCATCCTGGCTGGAGACCCCTAAGAGACCTGGACCATCCTGTCTGGGTGTGGCTGGAGACCCAGACAAGTAGTGCAGGGTAGTCCAGCCAGGATACCTGGATGGTCCTGGTCAGGTTCCGTCATTCAAACAGGTGGATTCGGTCCGTGGAAGGGAGTTCGATTGATTGTCGTGCTCGCAGAATAGTTGGAATGTACAAACAGCATGCGCAAAAAGGTGCATTTGTCCTTTGAACGACTTCCATTCTATCGTGTGTTTTCACATGTGGTAAGTGCACGGTTTCGTGGGGTTGAAAGCTTTGATGGAGGGGTTGGAACGCTGCTGGAGTACCAAAGTCTCCAAAGGAAACTGCAATGTAGAATGTAGACTCTTGATTATGCTCCAACCTCCCATATTGAGGGGTGTTACAATCCAAATGGGAAGGTGTGAATTGTTACTCGGCTGTCTACAGAATGTCTGTAAAGATGTTGTGTTTGATTGAACACATATAAATCATATAATATATATTATCTTTGTGTTAGATTACAGTGCAAGCTGTCAGAAATTAAATGCATTGTATTGTACTCTTGCAGACTCTTGCACCATGGTCAATGATGATATAATCATGTAAAATCATGAATAAATGAACATAGAGCAAACACATCCGTCCCAGTCAATCAAACACATCCGTCCCAATGAGCATCAGCTGGACGAATTTCCGCACCAGGATCTTGATTCATCCGACTGCCAAATGAAGGTTCGCCTCACTCTGGAATTGCCCGTATACGGACTTTGTATGCACACAGGTTGAACAGTTCATCCTTCCAAGTCTGAACCCCATGGCCCACATTCTTTGGGACATGAACCCTGCCCCCAACATGCCCCCCAAACATGCCCCAAAACGGCTGGCTCCTCCTACGCCGCTGGAGAGATGCCTCCGAAATCCCACCCTTCCTTCGGTGCAAAAGGCTCGGCTCCGCGCCCCATGCACGCGCCGCCAACGCTGCGAACCCGGTCGCCGCCGCTACGAACGGACGAACGGGAACGTGCGAACGCCGGGCGCCCCGGACTCCTTTCGACCAGACGCACTGAGGTCCTTGGACCGCTGCGAGCTCGGCGAGCGAGCTCGGCCAGGTCGAGTCGAGCGCCAGCGCTGTGCTCCAACGGTCGTTGCGTTTGCGAATAGGCAGATGGGCCACAGGCTGGCCATACGGACCGAAAACATGAAGAACAAACCAACTTCAAAGTGCCAGAGGTCTTCCAGGTCTTCGTGCCACTATTGCTGTGCCAGAATTGCTCTGCTGCAAGTCGAACACGTTGGATGAATCTTAGTCTTATTCATCTGCTCCTGCTGCACAACCCCTGGACATCACCGGACACCACCGGTCGTTTAGGGTCGAAGCCCATCATCCCAAAGCCTTGAAGCTTGACGTCTAAGGCCTCCACATGGTCATGCTGGTGCCAATACACTGGCTGCTTCCTGGAGTCGATTGAACATGTGGCTTTGGTATGCTGGCAAAACATGAACCTCAAAGAAGGGAGGAGGTAAAAAAAAGGCAACACATGTGGCTCAAATGTATGTATGTGCACTGACCTTCAGCTGGCCAACAAACTTTTGGGTAGATGTGACATATAAAATTAGGTTGTATCTTTATGTATCTTTCCATTTTGGCCTCTCCAACTCAACCTGCACCAACACAATAACAATAACACATCTGTGCATCTTAACCGTCCAGAAAGTTCAGTCGGTCGTTATAAAACCCCCCCCTCCGAAACCAGAAGAAAGGAAACGGCAGCGCTGGGAGCAGCTTGATCGTTTACTTTTGTCGGTGTTGAATATCTCTTGCTCCGTATATACCCAGACACTCCATGTATGCCATATATGCCTACATTGACCCCCAAAACCACCCCAATGCAGGCATATATGGCATACATGGAGTGTCTGGGATATACTCATGACATCTCATGACGTCATGGCTTTCTGCGTATTTGCTCACGGAGGAGTGGCACGGTCCTAAGCTACCAGTCTTCCAAAGCGACTCACGTGGGGTTTGGGTGCGGCCCATTGCATCCTCCCTTATTGACCAGTCTTCCTTGGCACACTCAGTCGTTCCTGGCCCTTCCTGACCCTTCCGGCGGTTCCAGGGCAGAACTCAAGGAGTTGACCGCTGGATCGCTGCATGGCTTCGAGGTTCTCCATCCTGAGCCTGAGGTGCCTCTGAACACATCGACCATAATTACTAGCAAACAGGCCGCCCAAAAAGAATCCCAAACACTCCATGGATCTCCATGGCATATTGTTTTCACTACATCGACCCTCTTTCTTTTTGATCCCACTTCAACTGATCGAGAGTCATATGCCAGGTCGTTTCTGGGAATAGGCTTGAGGATCTCTGCTGATCTTAAAAGTGCAACTGGGTAGTCTCATGAAGCATCCTCCGGAATTTCCCATGCAATCTTCAACCCATACAAGTAGGGTCCAGGTAGACCTCCTTTATCCTCCTTTTCGAATGGTCCAACGCAGGTGAGCGAGTGAGTGAATTTGTACTTCCTGAGAAATGGTCGAACTAGAGCTGAGTCCAGCAGAAACTGACAGAGCAACGCATGAGAGCAACGGATGGACGCCTCCCAAGCCGGCCTTCGGAAGCCACAGCCTGCAGCCTGCAGCTCCCAGCCCTAGGGATCCACCGGCACCCGATCCACTGTTCCGGTGCCAAAACGTTGCGTCCACACCGAGCAACGAACCGGTGGTCCCACCGGGGTGCGGACCGTGAACCGGTCCCGGAGACTGACGTCGCGCCTGAGCCGGTCCGTATCATCCAACTCTCGCTTTCGCAAGGGTTGGCCTTGGAGGCGGGATGCCATGGTCCAGCATGGCCCGTTGAGGGTGGTGAGGGAAAAAACAAAAATCCCGGAAAATCAAAAGGATGTGGCTAGAGAATTGATACGTCTTTGTTTTTTCTGGCAGCCATATATTGACACATTGATTTTTGTTCATGGTTTATGGTTGACTCTTTTCTCATGGGATAAATATGGTAGCCATATAATATTGACGATAAATCACTTTTTCATGGTTGACCTGTTTCTGTTCTGGGGGGCATGCTGCCAATTCCATTCACTTGTTCAGATCAACTGGACCTGATCTTTAATTCATGTGTATTACATGTTTACATCATTTCTACATATATATATATATATATATGCGCACCACTATGCGCACCGTATTTGCAAATTATGTTGATATCGTCCCATTGAACTCCAGCAATTGGAATTCCAGTCATGTAGCAATGTAGCCACTGCTGGTCTTTTCAAATGTGTTTTTTGATGTTTTTTTGGCACAGGCTTGGCCACTCACCACGCTAAAACTGAAATCAGCTCTTCAGAGCTCTGAAAGGACTATATAGACCTTCCTGGTAAACTGAGTTCCCTGACCGGCTTGGGCTGCGATGGCCATGGTGGCAAACCTCAAGTGGTTACGACTCGACGATCGTGCGCGATGTTAAGCGCTCGGAGCTCGGCACGGCATGGCTGAAATTACATTCTAAGATCCACGCACGTAGTGGGCGGGGAAATCCAGCCAGGAGACCCCCGAGTTCGGTGCTGGTCGGTGCTGGCCGGTTGACATTGCAACATCTGGTACCATCCCTCTAGGTAGAGGGTCTATGCTATTACCGGCAACGGTGGATGATTCTGGTTCAGTTGCAGGCCTTTCTGAAAATAGTGATAATACGTGAGAATTGATAATTATGTACCGACTGTTACAGGCTTATAGGACAAACCCGATACCTCTATATACAACTCCTGCAATCTTACTCTGCATCCCTACAAATGAAGGCTCAGGTCAAACTCACAAGGAGGTTCGACTCTGAGATCCTGAGAGAAACACAAACCAATTGGTGGATTCCCGGCCATCGCTTTGATAGTCCTGATTTCTCCACTTTCCTCCTGCTTTTTCTTGGATGTATTATATATTATATCATGCAATATGGTTATCTTATCTATTCTTATCTTCTCCCCAAATCTATTCAATCTATTCTAGTCTTCCAAGAGCTTCAAAGGGGTGTTAAGCATGGAGGATGGGGTGCCCTTGTCACATCCACTCACTGGATGGGACTAAATACCACCCCGTCTTGTGACTCCTGGTAGATAAGTCCTTCTTAAGACTCATTCCCAAAGACTTCGTATTTGACTGCCAGGATCTTCCAACTGCCAGGATATTATTCAATCTATTTTAGTTTTGTTGGAAGAAGTCTATTCTAGTCTTTCCTGTAGATGGATAGAGATGGGACTTTTGGTTGTGTTTTCCTTTTTAAATCCCGAAGTCCCATCTCTAGGGCCCCGACTGCATGTCTTCCCGCGAGGTCGCGAACCTGAGTGGTGAGGTGAGATGGATGGAAAGCTCTTCCAGGCCGTCTCGCTGCTGGCGTTGGTCGTGCCCCACCGATGGTCTTTGGTTCGGAAGGGCTGTAAAAAAAACACATGTTGTGTGAGCCCAAACAGATCAAACAGCATCGTGCCTACCAGGAATCAAGCATTATATATAACTTGTTCTGACACAAACCTTTCCAGGAAGAACTTTCGAGCTTTGTCACAGCAACGAGCGTTCCTTGCGGAGGCTGAACTTTCTCTAAAGTGCATCCGCGTCTGCAAAATCAGAAAGCAAGTTGCACGTATCCTATTGACAAGTGCTCGTCTTCTTGCCAGTCGAATGATTGCCGAACCTGGAGAAGGACTTCACCGTCCACAATTGAAAACGGATTCAACCCAAAGTAGGGCCAGGGTTCCAGTTCCAAAAGGAAACCTCAAGCGAATCCTCCATTCCATTTGGGGGACGCTCAGATCCTCTTGATCTCTTGGGATAAAAAAAGCAAATCTGACGGCTACGCGTTTCAGTTCCGAGAAGCTCTTCGTTGATGCTTCCCACCGGCGCGGGGTAGACCTGGAGCAAGCGAGCGGAGCATAGCGGAGCGAGCAGGGTGGCTTCGAACGGGTGGCATCAGCGTCAGTCCGTCGTTTTCGCGCATGGTCGGTGTGGGCGAACACCCCATGTTCGGAACATCCCAAAACCATCTCATCCCATATTTCCTTGAAAAGTGACGTCTCTTCATGAATCGTGGTGTAACCAGTCTCCGTCCTAAAACGACCCACCGGACTCGTCTCCGCGGAAGGGAGACTCGAGACGAGACGGTGGAGAGAGCCGAGAGCCGGGCCCGTGGCGTGATGCCGCAGCCATGTCGGACTTCACGGCTCCTGATGCACGTGACGACCGGGACGACGGCGGACGTGACGACCGGGACGACGGCTTCTGGACGGCGGGTTCGGGGCGTGGTTCGGTTCGGGGGTGAAGGTTCGGAGGTTCGGGTTGGTTCGGGAGGTTCTGTTTCCAAGAAGATGTCAGGACAAGTTAAGATGCAACAGAGTTATAGCAACCTAGAACCTGAATGACTTCTAGTTTGGACCACCAACCGCTCAAAATATGGTGTTTTCCCATCAAAACAAAGGTCAAATGGTTCTAGGAAGTTATAGTTTCATAACAGGTGCCAGTATGAAGTCATGTTGTCTTTGTGACTGAGGTACTGTTATTTCATCTCGCGTCCTTCCAATATATGAAGCGGATGAATGTCTCCTGCAAGGAACACGCAAAACAAACAGCCCAGGTCCACAACATGAGACAACAATTCGTCTGGCAAGTGACCCAACCGACAAAGTTCTTGTTCCTTTCAGTATCCAATCTCAATAAAAAACACACAATCTGGTCATAATCAGAATCATCATGTACAATGTAACAATGATCTGGAGGGTGCCAACCAAGTTTCATTATGCTTATTCAAACATATTCCAAACACACAACCCATGTGCAACTTGTATCTTCACACATCTTGAAATTTGCGGTGTTGCAAATAACAGATTGGTGGCTTTCCCATATGGGATCATGACACATCGCTTGTCTTGCTTAATATACATGTTCATGTCTTACTGAAGGATGCTTCTGCTCTCTCATGAACCTGGTGGCGTCACGTCTAACGGTCTCGGTACTCTTGTCGTTCATCAGAAGGTCTGCTTTTCGTACATCTCTGCAAATGCTTTAGGCAAAAACAACAGCCTGAGCACTGCCCGGCCTCCAAAACCAAGTTGATCCACCGGTGGTGCCGTTTTTGGAGTCGTTTTCCTTCTTCCATGGTCCGAACCTCTTTCTTGCTCCCCAAAAAAACGGGAGGCCCGGACCGGAGAGACCGCGGAGAGACCGGAGACCGCGGAGAGACCGCTCCTCAAGGTCTCAGCCTGTGTCCAGGGTTTTCCTGTAAACTGCCAGGCCGGTGCATCGCCTTCGGCCAGGAAGGAGGAAGAAAAAACACCTCTGGACACGTGGTGTAAATAAATTTAGCAGCTGAGTGCATGTGTGTGTGTGTGTTTGTGTGTTGTTCTGTCGCATCTCCATCAGAGAAAGCTCTCATGTCATGCTATCATCACACAAGTATATACATAAGTGCTTACTTATTGCAGGCCACCATGCCAAACATTTGGGCAGTACTGCAGTACACATTCAAGACCTCCGGACCTCCGGACTCCAAAGGTCACTAATTCAGGTCTGTGCCCGAGTCCAAACGAAAAAAACATACCAGAAAAGGACCTTGTAAAACAAAAAACGACTGCCAAGTGTATAGTGTTCCTCACCTTCACCTTCAACCAGAGCCCTTGTGTCTTGGCCTCCACATCAACAGAAACCCATAACACTCCGACTCACATCACCTGTTTGTGAGGAAAAGTACTCTTCGCAGGGAGGCCATGCCATCCATTTCAGTGTTAATTAGACCAGCCAAGGACACGAGGAGAGCAAACCTTATTGCTACATATTTGCCACTTCCAAAGGAAGCCCCTCCACTTTTCACCCACCTGGGCTTGGCATATTTCCCACCTGGGCTCTGCAGGTGTCTCGTTATTCAAACGGCTCCACCTGCGAGGCTCTTGGTGTCGCCGATCCGTTGGTACTCCGTCCTGTGACGACTGCAGACGGGAGGAGGCAAACGACGGAGGAGGGAAGCACCGAACGGTTAAGCAGCAGAGATGCAAAAAGGAGGCTGTTGGACCCAAAGCCTGTTGGAGTTAAGAGCCTTTTCGGTCCTTGAAACTATTTCAACTATATTTCAACAACTCAAAAGATACACACATATATATATATGAACCAACATTTTTTGGTACACTGTAGTATATATATATTATATATTATATCCATCATAGCTGGTATTAAAGCAACAACAACAAGTGGATACGAGAACTGCTCGAGGACACCACGGAGACAGCGCGGACCTCGTCAAGCTCCGGGCCAGATCATTGAAATGATCACCCTCCATTCGCCCTGCAGCGAACGCGCGGAGGTCAGCTGAAAGAGGGGGTGGAGGTCAGCTGAAAGATGGTCAGTTCAAAAACATGGTTGACAGTGCCACTCAAGCAAGTTGTGACGACCAATCGAGTTGTGACGACAACCAACTGGTTCTTCAAGTCTTGATGTTCTTCAAGTCTTTAAGCTATGCGATTTTGCTTGGGATGTCAGTCTAGATCCTCCCTAATCCTGTTGTGATTTTGGAAGTCAAAGTCAAGTCACTTCAAACGGCAAGGACCGTTCCAACCGCCGCCGCCTGCGAGGCCGGCCGTTTCAAACGGCGCCCCGCTGCGGGCGCTTTGACGGGCAGCGGCTTCGGGCCAAGAGCAACACCATCACAAGCCTGTGGATGCAAACTTTCAGGTCATCTGGCACTTTCAAGTGGCTGGACTAGTTTGAAGCACTCTAACTGCAACCTAGCACCCCCAAAAAGTACAAAAAGACTAGATGGCTCTAGTTTCAGTGTTTGCTACGCCATACAACCATGATATATACCGGACAAACATGTCGAAGTGAATGGAGGTGTCAAGCTGCTACAGCTCGACGCTACAGTTTTCCTGGGTGCAGGGTGACGCAGCGGAATGAGCTTGAGCCCCCGTTTCAATGAACAGACTTGTGCTTAGTATAAGGCTGAAATGGAAGGTAAGGTTATGAGGTCTTTCATGTAAGGGAATGGATCTTAAGGCATCTCTTGTGGGGGTTCATTCCGTCAATTCCCGACTGAGCACAAGTCAGTGAAGAATGTTGCAAGGGTGGAGGGAAGAAGTGTGAATTCGGATGTTCACTGGATGGCCGGCCCAGTCACTCATGAAAGGCCCAGTCATTCGAGACTTCTATAGCTTCTCACCCAAATGGCCACTTCTCACCCAAAAGGCCACCACTAAGGCCAGTAAGTATAGGCCAAGTGAAACTTACACTCCCACTCACCAACATGGAAGTGTAAGAAGACCATTTTCCTCTACAAACAGGTGGTGAACTCTGCTTCCATGTTAGTGAGTCAGACGGTATGTGATCCAGCCATTTCACCCTCGACCCTGAACGCTGGTTGGTTTGTCCCCTAGCCAAGCAAGTTGCAAAACGACCGGCTGGCTGGTCTGGTCCAAACAAAGTTCCAGCAAGCTCTTGTTATTCTTTGGGTCCTAAAGAACATCCTTGCTTAGTCCACTTAATAGGTGCTTAAGATGCTTCTGCATCTGATGCTTCATCTCCTATCGTGCCCTACTCCCAAGCTGCACATCCAATACACGTCGTCCCAGAATCCTGGAGATACTGCTCTCTTTGGGAGGTCTTTTGTCGTTTTTGGCCGTTGCTCACACTTGTGGTGTTGCAGTCCGGTCCTACCTGCTCTAAAACTCTCAGGCCGTGGGAGGCAAAACCCATCAGTTGCGTCCTCCGAGTAATCCCTCTTTGTAAGAACCATTTGAACGTAGCAGCCACTTTGTCACATGGTGATTTGATGACTTGATCTTTTTGAACATCAAGTGGGATTTGCAATACTGCCTCGATATGAGACGAGACAATCAACGCATACAGGGCAAAACACATGTGGCTCCTGCTTCTGCAAGAACCAGGTCTGTAAAGTGATGCTCACAGTGCGGCTCGGCAACATCACTCCGACTGAAACACGGTCGAAACTCACCTTGTCCAAACATCGGTATGGCAATGCAAAAGCAAAAGCAGACTAGGCACCCATCTAGCTTGTAGCTAGGCAAGTGCTCACTGTAGTGCCGGCAGCAAAACTACCTCTTGTGAACGCCCCTGGTGGAAGAGCGCAGTCATCACTTTATCAAACAAACTCATGTGCCTGAATTCTCCAAGTACTCTGCCAAAGTACAAAAAATCAGGGAATCCATCTACAAATTCTGCAATCTACCTAGGACTCTTCACCAATCTAACACCATAGCGTGCGACCGTCCGGGCTCTTTACAACTTTACATCGTCGCGCCCGGTCTAACTGGCGACATCGTCGTGCGAAATCATCAAATCGTCATCATCACCTGTGCTGATGTTTGCCTCAGCTGTGTTTGACGAAGGGACAAACCGAATAGCCATAACTGCATCCTTGGGGTATTTTTGACAACACCATGATGTAAAACACAAATACTTATAAACAACGAAGCATAATGAACCTATATTTAAGACATAAACTGAACTGCAAACATGTGCAATATCCATTGAATGACAAAACGGAAACACGCAGAGACATCCAATATTCCTCCGAGAGCCCAATCCGAGTCTCTTAGGAACAAACACCAAACTGTCGTGCAATCATGCAATCTCATGCAATCATGCATCTAGATCTTGTCTAAGAACCACATAGAACCACTGCAGTTAATATCATTTAATATCTAAAGAATCAATGAACCTTACCCCTAAGAATCCAGGACCGGACGGACTTCGCCGCTTTTGAGGCTTTCCTGCCAGCCTTTCCTGCTCGCAGGGGGTGGGTATTTTTACCCCTCAGGTTCAGAGGGTGTCTTCCTCCATGTCTTCCACCGAGCAGCTCCTTCGCCAACTTGGTCCATTGAGTCTCCTTTCCTCAGTAGTGAAAACGGCGCAGCCTTGTCTCGCGCGCAGTCGATGAACACCTCTTCTCGTGCAGTCGATGAACACGAGTTCGGTTCTGAAGGCTCAGGTGGTTAGGATGTTGGTGTTTGAGGTTTGGCACGTGTTCATCTCAAAAAAAATATACACATCAAAACGAACACATGCCAAACCATCAGGGTTTTGTTAGAACAGTGTTGATAAAGCCATTGGGAAATGAGGTTGGTCTTGTTTGTTTGGTTTTGACTTCTTTGTTTTCTCTCTCTCCACATGACCCGGATTGATTGCATCACATGGCTGCATACTTGCAATTCATCCAGACCAACTAAACCTCAATAGCTTTCAATGCCTATAAAGATAGAGGGGGGCCCCAAGGGAGGTGGAAGACTCATGAAACACAGGCAAAAGACATTAGGCATGTTTGATTGTCAGGGTTCGATTTTATGTTTTGAAGGAACAGCCTCAGACTCCAAGCCAATGTCTAGTTTCACGTCTCCTGCCTACCGAGGACGACCGAGTTCGCAAGTTAGATGTGGAACACCCGCATCATGAGCTGAATATGCATCAGTTCCACCAGTTCCTTTCAAACTGAATACACCACTCAGCCGTTCTTACACTCAGCCTTTAACCGTTTAGTGTTGTTTAATGCTCCTTTGATTTGGTCGCAGGTCTTTCCCTCCAGCCTTGCAGGTGTTTTCCGGCCAAGGCCGGCCTTTCCAACCAACAAGACCTCTATGGAACTCGCACCGGGCGACCATCAATGGTGTAGACCGTGTAGATCTCGGTGGTCGCCGTATCATTAAAAAAGCAGTTGCCTTCGGCGGCCCGGCCAACGGCAATTCGTCCCCTGGACTAGATCCAATCGGTGACGTAGTGGCTTGTTGGGGTGTGACTGGTCATCAAGCTATAATATACTATACTTTTGTCTGAGAATTACATATAGTTATCATTAGTTAGTTGTCAAGATCGGTTTGTTTTGGTTGCAATATGACAAAATCCATCTCGATTATATAACATGTTCAAGGATGCTGCCCTTTGCGCTTAAATGAATGGTTACGTGCGACATTAGAAGAACACAAAGCGTCATACTCCTGATTATTATACTCATTGTTTTAGGGATCTGGAGCACATCAGTCACCGAATGGGTTCAGTTTATTAGATGATGTTATGTTTGTGTGAACATATTTTCTTCGGGGGATGGTGCAGCACGAGCAACACAAACAAGTCCTTCTGGATCAGCTTGACTAAATAAAACACCCTGGCCCATAGCTGATCTGCGGACTTCTTTACACAACCCCACAGAAAGACGCTTTCTGTTGACCTATCCAGCTCTCAGCGTCTCTCTTTTTGGCTTGTTGCACCTATCATCTTCTGGAAAACCGGTCTCAGGCCTTGGAAGCGCTCCCAGTGATCGCCCTTCACCGAGGAGTCCGCCTGGACCATGTAGTTCCGTGTGATGCCTCGCGTGGGAACTGCCGCGTCACTGCCGATTCGCCGCGTCTGTTGGTGGAGCTCGGAACCCGCGCGGCGTGGAGCTCGGAACGGCTGGGGGGGGGGAAGAGGCGTCCACCCGTGGCCTCTACGGCTGTTTTTTTCAGGTTTTGGTTTTCGTTGCAAGGTGTCAAAGTCCCAGTTTCAGTGTCAGTTGCCTTTTTTGGGGGGGGGGTCCCCGAAAACAGTAGACAAACAGCAATCCTAGCTCAATCAGACTGAGAACCGTGTGTTGGTGGCCAGTGATTGGGCGATTGTGGCACTCATGCAGCAGGCACAAATGCTGCTCCTTTGTGTGCACCTAGTCATAGCCACAGCCACAAAAATCATGTGATTTGCCGTTGAAATATGCAATTAATACACATGTGGGAGCACTGGAAGAAAACAACAATAAATCACAAACACTGGACCAGCAGGCCTTCGTCCTAAAAGCACTATCCAACAGCACACTGCAAAGCCCAAAGGCTGTAATTACCGAACTCAAGACACTTCTCATCCCTTCCTCCCCATCAAGCTATGGCTGCCTGACTGACGGTACACCCGAAAAATAGTTGCCTGCCTCCCTGCAATTTCTCGCTCTAACACTGAGACCACTGTTTGGGCAGCAGCATGATGTAAGTGTTCATCCAATTGAACACAATATCTGCTCTACATTTGATCGTTGACACATGCTTTACACCTCATGGTTGTGTTTTGACAATCTCCATCTACCCCTTTTCGTCCCAAACAAATACACAACCCTTTTCGCCTCGCATCGCCCGCGACTCCCGCGCACTTTTGCACCGAGAGACAGCTTGGGATGGGCGCCCACCCAGGGATGCACGGGCAACCTAGGTGTCCGCTGGTGCGTGCCAGTGCCATGAAGGGTTTGATTGATCACTCGAGGATTTGACAAGCTCTAGTCGAACCAAAAAGTCGGGGCATGGTGCGCAAGTGACCTCCTTGGATCTTGCCTTGCTTCAGCCGCTTTCATGATCTCTTCCTAGGATGCGGCCCAAAGAACAAAGAAGTGTAATGCAACCAGGCTAAGCTGCCTTCGTAATGCAACCAGGCCTTACGGGAACTACCGGCCTGGGCCTTCTTTGGCTGCTTCGAGTTTGGCATCTTCTGTTGCATCTTCTCCGCCACTGTCCAACCTCTAGCGAATGAATTAAAACAAAACAAGTACAGGTTCATTTGTCAGTTATAAGTATCACCAAACTGCTTGAAACAAGCAGAAGCAAACTTAAGATCGAAGTGGGAAGTAGTCCCCCAAAGCCTGATGAACTTACAAATCAAAGCAATCACAAAGTGCTGAAAGTGCAATAACGCACAAGTAGCATATTCAGCATTTTGAAAGCGTATACTGTATACAAACAAACAAAACTCACATATCAAAAATAACATTCTTGAAATAATGCAACATGCTTCCTCTCCCATCCACTATTGAGAAAGGCAACAGCAGCAGCAAAAGACACCCAGATTTCCTGAGTTGCCGCTGCAAGCATTCCACCTTTGGCCATGAACTAGACCATCCATGTCGGGGTCGCTTCAGGGGTCAATGTAGGCATGTATTCCATACTTGGAGTGCCTGCGTAATGGCTAAACCTTGACATCTACAACACTCGCCGTGGACCTAATTACATGTTTCTCAATGAAAGCACCGCATGCAAAATGGACGTGAAAGTGTTCTGAAGCTCTCCATATGCCCACAACAAGAAGCACATTTGGATTTCTGGTGGGAAATCCTTGCTGATCGTCCACAACCACCGGCGTAGAAATCCTCATTCAAAATCGTGTGTTGATCGTTCATGTAGGATGCTGCTCTGCGAAGCTTGGAGAAACCTTGCAATCTACTGCATTCTGGTTGATTTGAGTCCATTGTAGTTCGCCAACCGCTCACCTGTAACTCGAAATCACCAAAACACCAAAGAACGGAGAATGTGTCTGTCAAAACCAACAGGGAAGACCAGATTTGAATGATCCATAAGAAAACAATTCCATTCCATGGTCATCCACAAGAAGTGTGTATTCTCTGTTTGTTTTTACCTTCACCAAGCCTCACCATCCGCCCAGCCGAAGTGGCCTTTCGGAATGATCTCCGCTTGTTGGAAATCCTCCGAGAATTGAAACCTCGATGCATCGCCCAACAGGCGGAACACGGAACACTCGCCCGAGGCCTCGCCCGAGGCCCGAAGAAAGCGGCAGCGATGTCGCACGGCGATTTCGCACGACGCAGTGGGCGCCACGCAGGGTTGGCAGAGGGGTCACCCAGAGGGATGAAGGGGTGGCTGTGGCTCCGTTCACCCACCCAGGGGCCCGGAACTCGGTAGGCTGACCTCCGTAGTCCATTCTGTTCATGCTTTATTTGTCAAACAGGGTTCGGAGTTCGGGGGTTTTGACCCCACAGCCAGGTTGTTTGCACCTGAACGTCTCAGACTCGAACATGTCGGAACATGTACCTGACTGTCGGGATGCGGTCACCTGGTCACCTGACTGTCGGGTCTTCACATACCTCTCTCTCTCTCTCTTAGCTGGCGGTCTCAGACCACGGACAATCTCACTCTCACTCACTCTCTCACTCTCTCACTCACTCTCTCACTCTCTCACTCTCTCTCACTCTCTCTCACTCTCTC